TCTTATATTATAAAATAAATGTTGCTGCGCATATAATTAGGTGGGTGGAAAATCTATGCTCTATCCACGGAGGGAAAATGCATGCACGATATGCCATGAACACTCAGATGTTAATCCCTCACAATTAATTAAAAACTTGGGTTAATTGGACATGACTTTATTATGTGCCATTTCTAGAAGGCTTTTTATTTTTTTTATTTTTTTCTTTATGCATGATTGATAGTTGGAAACTTGTCTCTAATTGGATAGTGGATAGCCCATTGTTGTCATAGGTGTTGGATTTCATTGAGTAGATGAGAATCATTTTTCTTTGTGCAAGAAAAAAAAGGATCTTTTACCTTGCAAAAAGTCCACAAGATAGATAGGTGTATGATCATTTTACTGAATCGCCCAACATGATTGCAATAGGTGTATTAATTATGTAGAAAAACGTGAGTTAGGTCAGTTGGTCAAAACAGTGTGTATGCCTAGTATTCTACAAGTTTTATTGATTTACACAATAGGGTTGCAATAGGCGTATATTAGGCAAATTGATCAAGACAGCATGTATGCCCTTTGCATCTAATCGCTCGAGAATATTTCGTAATTTGTTTATTAATTTGCAGGCAATTGAGTTCAATGCTATAGAATATGAAGAAAAAAAAAATTGTTGCTTTTTTATGACAAGTCGTATGATGACACATTTCGAAAATAGAATTCCCCCACACCGACGTACAAATCATATATATTCCATGTATTTCTTAGTGCTTGATTAACTGAACTAAGCCAACAGATTTGTTTTCGATCGGAGTGCTTGATCAGAAGGACATTGAGCCAAGCTTGATTAAATTGTTAATGTATAATCAACCTTAAATCCCCCCTAAAATAAAGGAATGAAGGTTTCTTGAGCCCTGCACAGAAGGGATTCATATGTTAAATTATTTAGACGCATGCAAAGTGTCCTTGATTCATGCATATTAATTTAGTCCCGACCAGAGACTAATTAGCTGCAGTTAACACCATATACTTTTATTTCTTGGCCCCTAACCAAAGATGCCAAAGGCGCTAGGAGCTGACTGCTTTGCTCATATAATATTTCTCAACTGGACGACTCACCGGTACAAGTTTAGATTTATATACAATTATTCCCTCATTCAGACGTCCGCACATTATTATTGTGCGAACACTATTGTAAACAAAGAGGAAATAAGAGAAGGATAGTAGAAAATAACGTGTAGGAAAATATGAAGTTTGGAAAATATAAACAGAGAGGAAACATAAATGACCCCATTTTTTTTTTCTTCTACAGTATTATTTACACTTCTTCGAAAGGTAAAGTGTTTGAGGAGTGGGATTGCTCATAAATGGAGAAGAAGTAAAAGAAACAGGAAACTTAGGTTAAAATTAAAGTAGTCAATACCGACCTTGCAAAGGGTGATATCATTACACCCACAAACCGATTGACCGTTAGCAAAATCCACAGCTTCTGGGGCGCCACCAGCCTCACTTGTCTGCAAAATTCATAGCCAATTATATTTTAGTAAATAATTACATGATGCAATCTTTTATTTATTTATTTATTTGAAGTGGATGTGGTTGTAAGTAATTACCGAGTAAAAATCAACAGCAATGAAATTAGGCCATCGATTGCCAGCAGCTACATGGCAGGTTTTGAGCATGTCAAGCAAGGGAGCTGAGTTATCTGTGCAGGCATTAAGGAGGTTTGGATTGCTTGAAAAGAAGTTCAGGAACACTAATGACTTGGTTGTGGTCTGCACGTCCAATGATTCAACACGGTTTGAGCAAGACCCAGCTTTCATCCCATTATCCCCATCTGCAAATTCCAAATCTCCATTAAATTTCATGCACTTGGGTTCAAATTATAAGCAAATAAACTACATGTTTTAGGTAACATGAGATCACATTTTCTCTCCACAACTTATATAGGACTTGCGTTTTCTTTGTCTATGGGTCGTTGAGTGGGTTTGGAATGATCATGGGCTAGTTTACAGGTATTGAAATCTGCAGCCAAGCCCATATAGCTAACCTATGCTTCAATTACTAATGTTATGGATAATCGTCTACGCGCACACTCTCGGCTGATGAACACACAATTCATATTCATGACTTCATGTCAGAACTCATTTATGATTAACAAATAAGATATTGTCATGTCACATACTTGATGACTACAAATTAGAACAAATTTTGATGACTCTAGGTACATACGATCCATCAATTTTGTAAAAGGATGGTAAGAAGGACTTACATTGGTTTTCTACCATGTAGTTCCACTGGTAGGCAATTCCTTCAGAAGCCTCCTTTTCTGCTCTTGAAGTGAAAACCACTAAACGTTGATTTGCCTTGGCCATGTCTTTAAGTATTGGCCAATCTCCACCATTTTTCAGCATCTGAGTTACTGGAAACCAGAATTCCTTTAGGCCGCTAGAATTAAACAGCCTAGTCAACACCATTGGCGTTTCAACGTGGTCTTCTATGATGATGGTGATGATTTCCCAAGGATTTTGTTTAAGAAATGTTTCGATCTTGCCCAGAGCATTAATCGCCGGTTGCCGTCAGTTGAGACGGTACAAATAACAACACTTAATTAGTCGTTGCATTCATAATCTTGTTTCAAATGTAGGTTTAGAAGGCGATTTGGACACTTACAAAAGCTGTTCCGTTGCTACACTGGCCGTGACATAACCAGGTGACATTGTTGAATTCATAGATGTGTCGAGCATTAACCCTCTAGCACCACTCTGCATGAGAGATGTTTACTTCTACGTTAGTCTACAAAATCAATTTTCATTAGGATAGAGATCAAATAGTGAGGAAAAGACATGTTCTAAATAACCACTAATATCTTCTAAAGTCCAACCGGTATGGTATGGAGAATTAGTAATTTGCCCATGCTACCAAGATTTTGAGAATTAGTATCCCCTTTATTCTATAACCTTGTTTCTCACTCAAGAAAAACTTTGGGGTGTTTGACTTTCATGTACCACTTGACACAACCAACGAGTCTAATTAAAACGATGTTATAAATTTTTATTTATGACAAGTTTAATTGTAACACATGTTATGTTTTAACTGGACAGTACCTGCAACTTATATATTATTACGAGACAAGAAAGTTCAAACCTAAGAAATAAAATAACTCTCTATAGCATTATGACTTTGGTAGCAAGTGAAGAGGGGAGAGAGCAATGCATGCATTAAGCTGTGCTGTAATGCCATCCATCTGGTTTGTCCCGAAGATAATATTAGAGCCAGTTATCAGTGACTTTGTTCCAAGCATTGCAAATGAATTGTGCGTAGTCAGCCATGAGTACCGATTAAACGGTAGCGTTTTAACCTACACAATGTTTGATGAATTTCCATAACCCCAATAGAAAAGACACAAACACACAAAGAGAATTTAACAGAAATAATATTAATCTGAAGGCTATGCATATATGAACCTGATCAATGGGATTGGAAATCTGGATCCGGGCACACTTCGGTGTTGTTTGAAAAATATTAGTATTAAGATCAAATCCGAGGCATATCTCTCACAGCGCAAGCCCTTGGCACAAGTCGAATTTAGCAACCCACATTTTTGTCCCACTCCTACCTACGTATTAAAGCCAATTACATAGTATTCTTTGCAACATAATACGTCAAAAATAAATAAATAAAATTTGAGTCTTTGCATTTACAAATGGTTAGACTTATTCCTACATCAGCTAACCTAATCTATAGTTACATTTTTACTGAATTACGCTAGCTTTATGTGGCAACAAATCTAACCATTAGATTGTTGTAGTAGTTTAGATTAAATGAAATGCACGTAAATACATTAGATTGTTGTAGTAGTTTAAATGTACCGTGACCACCTTGCCTGCACCACTACAACCTAAAAAAGGGTTGAGCCGAACAAAATGGCAATAACGATGAGTTTCTGCAAGACAACATTAATTAATTGTGAGATCGTAGAGAGTGTATCATGATAAATTTGAATATGTTTTTGTTTATGTGTTGTCATTGATTAGCTGCATATATACATATGGATTCAGAACAGATAAGGAGCTCTTTTATAGGGCAAACAAATTTTACCCAAATGCAAAAACAGAAAGAGACTGATTGGTTTTACATAATTTAATAGTTGTGATTTATAAAATGTCTGTTACTTGATCAAAATTCATTATGTAAAAGGGAATTCATAGGTTGCATGGAAGAGGCAGATAGATAATTGGAAGAATAGGAAAAGAGTTTATTATTAGAACACTTCGGAGAAAAAAATTTCATCTACTTGTTAAAAAATTAATTTTTTTGTAGCCCATCAATCATAAATTTTTTATTTTTGGAGCCCATCAAATGAAACTACAAGCCCACCTTCCTTCCACCATTGAGGCATGGTCAGCTCTCAATGAATTGACCCATTCCTTGTTGTACAACTAAAACCCAAGCTCAAATTAAAGTTTTTATTTTTTATTTTAGAAAAAAAATCATTTTTGAAGAGGTTTAGAGAAAAATAGGTTACCTTTGAAAAAAATAATAATTGAAAGCTAGCATGTTTCAACAAGAAGGAACCACAATTCTGCTAAAATTGAAAGCTAGAATTTCCCGGACTCATATCCTTGAGCTTTTCAATAAGAAGTTGAAGTAAAAAATGAGAGTTTGGTCAGTTGATTAGGATAGTGTGTTTGCTTTTTAACTCCGAATTCAATACTAGTGTTAAAATTCAGATTTTTTAAATTTATTTCCTAATCTGTTGATCGGAGCAATTTGAGTCCTTGAAAACAAAGGAGCTGAGTATTTTACAAAAACAAAAAACAAAAAACAAAAATCGCATGAAATGGGTGGGCGAGGGTAGAGATTTTAGATTCAAATCTTCTTGTAATTGAAAAAAATAAAATCTGTTAACATAAACGTGAGTGGGTTTGGTAACATCAATATTCTAATACCTCTAAATGAGTGGAGCTATTATATTTCAAAATGAAAAACCTTCCAACTCCCAGCCGAAGTAGACATATATACCTCTGCAGCCAGAGTAGACCAAATATATATATATATACACACCACAAGCTCACCAACAAAAATGTTCCCAACTCAGACAATTACGTTATCAATTGAAAAGATATACCCAGCAAATCTAAAAGAAATATAAAATCCATCATGCTTCCATGTGCACTGCACAATGACAAAAGATTGCCTCCAAAAGTTTCCCACAATTACAAAAAGCTGGAAGGCATGCTGTTTTTCTGTCTGTTAATTTCTTTTTAATGATCACATGAGTCCCATTCAACACACTAATTCAAATTCCAAATTGACAGTCAACTTCATGCTGGTTAGAGATTAGATTTCCTTTTTGTTTTAATTGTGTTAAAGAATGCAGACGAGAATACTTCAGGTTGTAGAATCTACAAAGACAACAACAGGAGAAGGGTCACAAGAAGACTCCCAAACAACCACTGGATTTGAACTGGCCCCCTATTTGAATAACCAAAGTTGGTGTTTGGTGGTGCAGCTGTAGGTATAACATCAGCCTCAGGCTCTGGACATACTCCAAAACTCATATTGGCCTGTGTACACAAGAATACATTAATAAGTAGTGTGTACCTAAACGACCGTATTAGGTTAATATTTGTTTGAATGTCTTGTTCAGATTGATAATCTGACAACATAACATATCGGAGATTTATATACGGGATATATATTACTCACCTTGCAGTTGGCGATGGTTCCACACCCGCAAACTAAATGACCATTTGCCACATCTGTTGCTCTAGGAGCTCCCCCACCATCACTTCTCTGAAGGTACATTTATATACACACACACACTAAATTGAGCATCCATCTAATTTTGTTTTGCTAGTATTTTAAATTAATTGTGGAAAATAATATTCATATACCTTGTAAAAATCAACTGCAATGAAGTTAGGCCATCTTTTACCAGCGGCATCAGAACATGTATTGACCATGCGAAGCAATGACTCTGAATTATCTTTACAAGCTTGGGTTACGTCTGGAAGATCTCGAAAATAATTGACTAGGACTAATGATTTTGTTGTTGTGTTCATGGGAGATGATTCTGCGCGATTTGGACACGACCCGGCAATCATGCCACCGTTTCCATCTGCATTAAGTTTCAAATTAAGTGACGTAGTTTTGGACATAAGCACAATATCAGCGCAAAAACTAGCGTGTTCAAAATTAACAACATGACTCACATTGGTTTTCTACCACGTAGTTCCACTCGTAGGCAATCCCTTCACTGGCCTCCTTTGCTCGTTTCGAAGTGAAAACCACCAGACGCTGGTTTTTCTGGATCATATCAGCAACTGTTGGCCAATTTCCGCCATTTTTGGGCATTCTTGACACTGGGAACCAGAATTTTCTCAAGCCAGCAGCATCAAACACCTTGGTCAAGCCCTTTGGTGATGTGACGTAGTCTTCAATGATGATGGTCACAATCTCTGATGGGTTTGCTTGAAGAAATGCTTGAATTTCTTTGAGAACATTAATGGCAGGTTGCTGATAAATCAGATTGTAGATTAATCAGTACTACTATTTTAAAGATGCTTTTAATAAATATAAGCAGAAATTACTTGATCACACCTACGTGACCAAATGATTCTCAATTTAGTTAATTTTAGAAAATATCATCTTTAAAAGTAAATTTAATTGAAGGTTGACGGTTCGTGTTACTGTCACAGAAAACAGGCTTCCCATTTATGTGGTACTCAATTAAACTTCATCAACTTAAGATCTTCATTAGTTCATCACTTAATCGACATAATAGAAACCAATATTTTTTTTTTATACAAACGATATTCTACTTTAATCTAATCTAAATCAGTAATTCCAAATATTAGAATGCTAAGTGACATTTTAATTAAAAATTATCGGCAACAACTCATTATTTCGCATCTATACTTACAAAAGATGTATAGTTGTAGCAATTGCCCCCGAACGAGTGACATAACCAAATATCATTCTGAAAGTCATACATATCGAGCATTAACCCTCTAACACCATTCTGCAAGATGATACAATTGTGTTAACAAATAAAATTCATGAAAACAAATAATGCACGAAATCAATATTTTATTTTTATCATTTTGAAAAATTATCATAATAATATTTTGAAAAATATCATTTCTTTTATATTTTTTTTCCACTATCTATATGAAACTTCTATCTATGGGGGTCAATATTTTCGCTCTTTTGGTAGAGTGATGCTTATATTATAGAGCAAGCATGACGGGTGTATGTTGCAAGTAGTTGTGGTCATCATCATCATCATCATCAAAATATATCTTATTGGATGTATGCTTATTCTCTTCTTCCCCTTTAGAAAATAGAGGAAGAGGAAATTATCAAAGTCAAAATACACCTAATTCCATAATAATTTGGTCTTAAAAAAAGGTGGGTAAAAAGTCTAACACTTTGGCCAATCCTTCTACGGTTCTACAAGCGCAATTGATGGATATTCTTGCCGGGCAAGGCAAGACTCGTAGTATTACACACTTTTTCTTCCTTCTTAATCAAGAAGTGCTTTTTGGGTTCTTTTACTTCATTCTAAAGTGCTTATGCAATATGAAGTCCAATTTTTTCATACAACAAGTAGGTCACACAACAGCCAACCAAGACTACCAAAATTGGAAATTTCAAATTTTCACATCAAAACCTAGCGTGAGAACCCTCATGCAAGAGTGTCCATTATTACTTATTGGAGCCCATATGAACCTTGAATTGAACTATCATTTTTCATGCTAATTCAACCAGCCAAACCTCAATATTTTGCTAAGTTGCTAATTTCCATAACCCAAATCATATTGTTATGCACAAAAATTCAGAAATAATGAAAAAAAGAAAAGAAAAATATAAACATAAACAAAAGCCCACTTTCAACTTTCCCACTTTTTTTCAAATACAAGTGATAATCTAAACTACAAGGGAATTGGGGTTTCTCGCCACACAACAGCCAACCAAGACTACCAAAATTGGAAATTTCAAATTTTCACATCAAACCCTCATGCAAGAGTGTCCATTATTACTTATTGGAGCCCATATGAACCTTGAATTGAACTATCATTTTTCATGCTAATTCAACTAGCCAAACCTCAATATTTTGCTAAGTTGCTAATTTCCATAACCCAAATCATATTGTTACGCACAAAAATTCAGAAATAATGAAAAAAAGAAAAGAAAAATATAAACATAAACAAAAGCCCACTTTCAACTTTCCCACTTTTTTTTAAATACAAGTGATAATTTAAACTATAAGGGAATTGGGGTTTCTCGCATACCCACACTACGACTGTATCGTGAGAGTTCAAATATGAGATAACTAATTTATAAGTTAAGACACTTTTCTACTCGGCTAGCCGGTTCACACCTCTAATTTAATAAAGCATGGCGTGGTCCTTTTTTTGGTTAGGAGTCTATTGAATATCATCAATGCGAAGTGACCAGGCCTCACCGCTCAACCGCGTGGCCTTGAATTCTAGCGTCTGTTTTGTTCTTAAAAAACCTTTCCTCTCCTCGGTCAAATAAAAGAAAAAAGAACACACAACAAACACAAAACACACACGCATTTCTTCAATGATTTTCTTCAAACTTTCCCGAGAATCAAAAAACCAAATGAATATATTTTAATTTATATCTGCATAAAAATATAGAAGATAGAAAGAGACATACATTAAGCTGATCGGTAATGTTGTCTTGCTGATTAGTAGGAGCAAGAATTAAAGAGCCAGTCGCCGACCTTTCGCCTAACCTCGCAAACGAATTGTGGGTTGTCAACCATGAATACCTATTAAACGGCAGCGTTTTGACCTGTTCATGTATAAATGCACAACCACATCAAACAGTTGCAGACAGACCAAAGCTGAAAATGAACTGAAAAAATTAAACAAATTGGGTACCTGAGAAATGGGGCTTATGGGTTGGGTTCTGGTGCATTTGGGCACCAGGTTCCCGTCTGCAAGGCACGTCTCGCAGTGCAAGCCCGAGTCACAGTCGCTGTTCTTGATGCATTTCTGCCCCTCCTGGAAATTGCAGAAAACAGAGGAAACAGAACAAACAGAGTGAAAAATGGTTGGTGTCGATTTTAAGTTGAGCAAATGCTTATAAATTAACAAGAAATCAAATGGGTTTTCAGTTTTGAATTAAAGAGAAAGGAGGAATAAATTAAAAAGTTGAAACCTTGCGGGCTGAGGAAAGATCAAGGAGAGAAATGGTAGCTAACAGAGTTGCAATGATAATGAGTCTCTGCAAGTTAAAAAAAAAAAAAAACAGAGATGGGTCAGAGTGTAGGAAAAAAAAAGATGATGGAGAAGAAGAAGAAGAAGAAGTTAATTACAAGCTCCATTGAGGTGTTGGCTATGGAGCTTTACTTGCACACAATCTACAGATGCAGGGCAATTCTCAAAGAACAGAGAACCAAAAAAAAAAAGGGTGCCCTCTGTTTAAGCAAAGAAATAGAAATTGTTCAGGACTCTTTTTAAATCACCATCAGTGTCTATATAACAAGTCTTTTAAGACCAAAACCTAGTTGGAAAATCAGGCATGTGTATTTTGTGGAAGTAAAGTTGGAGAGGCCCCACACTAGAATTCTTCTTCTCTTTCATCTTTTTAGCAAGTAAGATGGGATTGTTGTATATTATCAGATAAGTTGGAGAGGCCCCACACTAGAATTCTTCTTCTCTTTCATCTTTTTAGCAAGTAAGATGGGATTATTGTATATTATCAGAGTTCATTGCCATTTCTTTGCTTGTTTTAATTCAAATTCTCCTCTTTTGTGTGGATAAAGACCTATCTAAATGGGTAGTTGCATTTTAAACTTCTTTTTTTTATTATGAAGAAAGAAGATTAATAAGATTGCTAAATGAATATGATGCTTTGACTTAAACGTCAAGCATTTTTAAGTGGGGAAAGAAGATTAATAAGATTGCTAAATGAATATGATGCTTTGACTTAAACGTCAAGCATTTTTAAGTGGGTCATCATTAGGACTAAGAAAAATAATCACTTAAAATTTCTTCTCTGGTCACTTGTAACTTTTCTATTGATTTGTCTGCTTTGACTATAGTCTCATTGTATTTAAGGTCAGGAGCGTCTTGACCTGCCTCATTAGAAAGAAGAAGAAAACAATTGTTTTACGTATTTGTTCATTGAAAATGAAGTTGCAAATGACCTACTAATATAGTGATTTGGAGTAATTGCTCATTCAAGAAAGGTTTAAGGTTTGAGTCCTAGCATTTGTGTAGTATGTGTGAATTTAGTATGTTTATGTTATCGCCTCTCTAAATATGAAAGATTCCAAAAATATATATATATATATTTAAAATATTTTTCGTAAATAAACGCAATTTTGGGTTATTTGAAAACTTAATCATAAACGTCTTTTGCTTTATAAATATATAATTATTATGAGATTCGAATCTCGGAATTTAAAATTAGTTGGGCTGGATTTACTTGACAATTAGTTGGACCTCCCAAAAGTGCAATAAAATGCTTTGATTTTGGATTTTGGATTGTTTGATTTTGATAACTTGTATGCTTTGTTTCCCTCCTTTTCCGAAACCAATTTTTTGTTAGAAAAGGTAAAGTTCTGAGCAAGAAAGAAAGCAAATTCTCTTTTGCCTTTGATTTTTTTTCTTTTGTTTGCTTGAAGCAGCTTCCTTCTCTCTTGACATTACAAGACTTGTAAGTTACAAATTTGACTGACGTTCCACAAAAGGCAATACTTGTAATACGTATTATATGATTATGAAGGAGAAGGTGAAGGTGAAGGTGAAGGTGGAGATCTATCCACACACACACAAGAAAAAAAGTGAAGGTGAAGGGATATGGGTTGTTTAGAAATAATGGGTTAAAAGAATATTTTTTGTTGTTGAAATGTAATAGATAAAGTGGGTGAAGAAATATAAAAGAACAATTGCGTATTTATAACATTTTCTTGTCACATACATGATACAGTTTAAGTCCATGCAACTTTGCCCCTTTATGTCCACTTGATGTGAATTTACCATTGTGAATGAGAGTAGCGATAACGCCACTCTTCAATGTTTCTAGTTAAGGTAAATCTATATGCACAAATTGATGTATGTTCCATGTTGTGGTTTAATTTGTGTAGGTTGGTAATAAGGGGTTTTCTTAAATAAATTATTAAAAGTATATTGAAACTAGGAAATTTGCCCTTTAACTAAATAAGTCGTTCTATGGTGAGGGTGCCATATATGGACCATAGATGTGGACATTCATATTAGCCACATGATTCCTATAAATAATAACTTCACTTAAGTTTAATGAAATGATCTTGTAACTAATATGAAAATGCACATGAGACGTCCATATACAACACCCTCACTATAGAATTTCACTTAACTAATAATCAAAACTATTCCATTCCATGTACTGATAAATATGGGTTATAAAGTATTGGGCTGGCATTGCATGTAAATTATTTCAAAAAGAAAAAAATAAAGGGTTGGGCCTAAACCCACCAATGTGGTGTGTGTTGTCACTACTGCAGACACCATCACTATTGCACTTTTATTTATTTTTTACCTTAAAAAAATCTGAGTTATATTTACAGCAACTATTAATTTATATGCTCCAACAAAACAAAGCTGGTACACACCATTACATCATTGTCATGCATTGTTTTTGTGGCAAAGACAGACAACCACAATACGGACAACATCATCATCACAATTCATCACAAGGGTGCCAACGTTTTTGCTTTTTAGAACAAACTGATAAAAAAGAACAAAATTATAAACATTAAAAATAACAAAAAAACAATTAAATCTGTGGGTCTCACATGAACCTTCGTTAATGAAGTCTATGGTTCTCACATGCTACCTGGTCACTAGGATGATATGATTGGACACATCAACACGGGATGGATTTCCATGGAATGTAAGGGGTCCACTTAATTGGAGGAGCAATAAGCGCAATAAAAAATTTACTGTGCCAAAGATTAATCCTATTTAATTATGTCAATTCTTGTCTAACATATAATATATTTAACTTCCCTCGTCATATTACCCAACAGTTTTTGTATACGCATGCTGTGTACAAACTTCTTTGATACTTCAACTCCATGTTGTCAATGGGTCTAACCCAGTGAAAAATAACCTTACCTTACATATTGGTAGTTTTAGGCTCGAACGCTCATGACAACTTAGTAGTGTGTGTGAGAAACCCTCCTTCCATTTCAAACAAAAACAAGAAAAAGAAAAGAGAAACTCTCCTTAACGAGAAAACAAAGAGAAGCTTGAACAAGCTAACAATTATCCTTAGCAAGAAAACAAGACATGCTAACATATACAAGCTTATGAGCAAGCGTACAATCATTCTCTTATATGGGTGTTAACATCCGATTTTTTATCCGGACTCAATCACTATAGTGTAATTTTCGGTTAATCGGCACATGTTCTTGTTTAAAATCTAAAATCGAAGTTCGTATGGTGATTCTAAAATCCAGTTTTCTAAAATGGAAGTAAACAAGCATATACAGAATGACATTAAAAATAAATAAATAAAAATTCGAAAAAGAAATTGATGAAAATTGATGTTTATCGAAGCAAGTTGCGACTCGAAGCCTTAAAAATAGCACGCTGGTCGACCGGTCTATAATAATAATGGCATGGCAGAGGAAACCAGAAGATTAACATCCAAATGTAAGAACAGTTTTGATTCACCCTCTTAGACTCTTTTGTAACTGAAAAGAGAATAAAAACCCAATTTTGGAATTACCACTGATCTCCATTTCCATATGACTCTATATGCACATGCAACTGATACCACTAGAGAAAGCCAAAACTTTGAACAGCGCAATGGAAATAGAAAAACAAAAACAAGAACGTAACTGGGTTTTTTGTGTTCCCAGAAGACCAATGAAATGTGACCCTCCCCAGTATAATACTGGGAAACAGGGCCCCACAGGTACCTATTAAATTTGACAAAGAATAAGAATTCTAAAATTTACCACACGGAAAATTCTCAAAGGAGAGGGTGGTGGGCCCATTCCAGTCAACTCCCACAGTCAAAACCCTCTCTCACTCTCTTACTCTCACTCTCACACGCACACACACATTCTCAGAGTCACAAGCCTACGTTTTTATGGTTCCCAAATGTGTTTAGATACTGGCTCGTTGTTTCTTACCCCACTTCTCTTTGCTCTCTTGGTCAGTGGAATTTTCCCTCTTGGTCTCGACCATGGCCGTGTACGGACCGGGATTTCTTCTGGGTTTTCTTGTATTTCTTGGAATGCAGCTTCTCCCTCCAATAATGGCAGGTGAGTAAATATTTCTGGGTCATTTTCTTGTTTCTCATAAAGCTCTGCTTTGGTTGTTGTTCTCTCGTTTGCTTTGCTTCGTTCTGTTTTGAGACTGACTGAAGAGGCTGCAATTGTATTTAGTTATTCATATGATTGTTGCTTTCGTTTTCCATCTTATTGCATTTCATGTTTTGGGCGCTTTCACTTTCAGAGACCCCATTTTGGGTTTATAGG